TAAAAAAAGAGAAGGGCGGAAATTAGTGAATGCCATTGCGCATGATTTAGGCCCTGTCCAATCACAATGACCCTCAGAGACAAAGAGGAAAGTTCTCCAGGCTGTGATCAGTCCCCTGAAAGTGACAGCCCCCTCCACAAAACCCAAACCAAACCAAACTCACTATTGAGTCCATTCTGACTGAGTGACCAAAGCTATTAGCTAATGAGAAGGCAAGTGAGACCTGTGTCAGACAGGGGAGATTGCTGGTGACTTGTGTTAAGGGGCAAGCACAGAACGCAACCCCTCTCAGCATGTTGACAATCACCTCTTAGCCACAAAGCTTTGTGGAGATGCTTAAAAAAAAAAATGGAGTAGTGGGTGGTGCAGTGGGTTAAAGATGGGACTGTTTACCCCTGTGAAGATGGAAGATCTTGGAAACCCCAAGGGGCAGTTCAACTCTGTCCTAGAGGGTCAGCAGGAGTCGCAATTGATTTGATGGCAGCGAGTTATTTATTTATTTATTAAGCAAAAGCTGGACCCAAGTAGATGTGTAATACGATTTTACATCATGTCCAAATCACATGACGTCCTACTTCACACAGAACGTGTCATGGATGTTGTTTGGAGCCCTGGTGACATCGTGGTTGCACGTTGGGCTGCGATCCATAAGGTCAGCAGTTCAAAACCACCATCTTCTCCACGGGAGAAAGATGGGGCTTTCAACTCCCTAAAGAGTGACAGTCTCCGAATCTCACAGAGGCAGTTCTACCCTGCCCTGTAGGGTGGCGATGAGTTGGCACCGCCTCCACGGCAGCGAGCTTGGTTTTGTTTTTTATTTTTTATCATGGACGTTAAGCTTGAACAATGTGGATGAATCTCAAAATAATTATTCGGAATGAAAGAATCCAGAAAGAAAGTATAACCGGTATGGTTCTATTTATATGACATTCTAGAAAAAGCTGGCAAATCTACAGAGACAGAAAGCAGATGGGTGACTATTGGGGGAGTGTTGGTGCGCAGAGGGTGTGCAAGAAGGGTACAAGAAAGCTTGTGGCATCATGGACACATGGACTACCTTGATTCTCGCCATGGCTTCCTTGGTATGTACATATGTCAAACATAGAATTTCAGACTTTCAGTATGCCAGCTTAATGTATGTCAATTATACCTCAAAAAAGCTTTTTAAAAAATCAAACAAAAATTTTAAAAACGTATTAAACATACTCTTACTATATGACTCCATTCTACGCCTAGGTAAAGGAATACATGAACCTACAGAGATTTATACACAAATGCTGTAGAGCGTTGTTTGTAATGGGCAAAGACTGGAAATAACCTACATAGCCATTCCCCCAAACCCACTGCCATCAAGTCGATACCGACTCATTGTGACCCTATAGGACAGGGTAGAACTGCCCCTGTGCTTTTCGGAGAGTCACTTTCCACAGGAATAGAAAACCTGGTCTTTCTTCCCCAGAGCGGCTGGTGGTTTTGAACTGCTGACCGTGGGGCTGCGTTAGCCCAACACGGAACCACGACAACATCAGGGATTCCAGATATCCACTAATTGAAACTCATCCACATAATGGAAGACTACGCAGCAATGAAAGGATCAGTCATCTAACACTATGGATAAATGATAAGGTGGGGTGAAGAGGGTAGCGAAGGGAAAACCAATAGCAATGATCAACACATAACCACCACCCTTGCCCCCAGGGGATGAACAACAGAAAGCGTCGGGTAAGGGAGACAGTGGTCTGTGTAAGAGATGAAAATAATAATCATTTTTAATATTATCAAGGATCACAAGGGTGGGAGGGGGAAGGGAGGAAAAAAGAGGAGCTTATAAAAGGGGTTCAAAAAGAAAGTAAATGTTTAGAAAATAATGATGGCAACATATGTGCAAATATGCTTGATACAATTGATGTATGGATTATTATAAGAGCTCTAAGAGCCCCCAGTAGAATAAGCATGTAATTAAAAAATAAAAAGAACAAAACAAAACACAAACAAACAAATAAAAAGAAAAGCTGAAGGCATGGTGGGCACAGTCCCAATCTGATTGTTGGGATGGTTTCCTGGGTGCGTGTATATACATATGTAAATGTATATGTAAATGTGGGATACCAAGGTTTTCCCCCAGGTTGTCATCTGCTTGCTAGCTCATTGTGTAGTGCGCTGTGTAGAGGTATTCTTCCTGAGGGCATGAGCCATCTCGAGCAATCAGACACTATTGTCTGTCCCACCATTGGTGGGGCTCACGCCCTACTAATAAGGACGGTGATTGTTCCCCTGAAGAGGAGCCCAGAGACAAAGTCAAGCCAACGCAAAGAGGATCAAGGTTAGACTGCCATCTTGCATCTAAGATCAGTCCATCTTGTCAAGCGTAGCTCTAGTCCCGTCCCTTCCTATTGCGTGTGCACCCCTAGATCACCCCCTGCCCATTGCTGACATCACCTATGGTACAGCCCCTGCCTGTTACGTCTGTGGTTACCTGTAAGCAGGGGCGCTTTTGTGCCCCCTAAATATATGTAAGCCTTGTTTAGAAATATAATCTCCTCTTCTCCTCCCTCTCTTTGCTCGGACCTGCGATCATGGCTGTCCCGGAGGTGAGCATGCTACCACGCAATGTGTCTGATTTCTTTATTTTGTCTTTTCTCCTCTCTCTCCTTTTCTCTATGACTATATATTATCGCTGTACAGTTGAGCCTACGGACCCCCCCGGTTGTCAGAGGCTGGCTTCCTCTGACACGTAAACACTCATCTAATGGTAGACTTTAAATCTATGCAGTTTATTGTATGTCAATTTTACCACAATAAAGTTATTTCAAATATCGTAGCAATCCTAAAATGCAAAGCTGGCCATGCCACTTCTATGCTCAAAATGGTTCAAGGGTGGGCCAGCACGTGGAGGTCAAGGCCTGACACACTGTGGCACCAGGTTTCTGTGGCTTCCTCCTCTGTCCCACCCACACCCCCAGTCGTCCTCTGACACCTCTCGCCTCCAGTCCACACCGTTGCTTTTGTGCTTGGTGTTCCTTCTGGGGAGACATTCTCTCTAGTCCCCATTTCTGTCAAATACCACACATTTCGTTAGGGTCTAGCTCAAATGCCTTCTCCATTCAGCCTCTCTGATTTCCCAAGACAACCTGTATGCCTTTCCTCTGCAGCGTTTTGCACGTGTTTCACAATTCCTAGCATCGTCTGCTTGGAGGCACTCTTCTTAATTTCCAGCATCGCTCGTGGTGTGTGTTCATTTCAACTTCCCAGGGAGAGTATTGCTCCTGGAGCACAAGGACTCTTCTGATCTGATCTGTGTATTCTCCGCAACATGTCGCACAGGGATTTGCTCATAAGACATGCCCTGTACGTACTTTTCAGTTGAATCGAACAATTTAACTTCTGAGTTGTTCTGTCCTACACATTGACTCTTCAAATACCCATTTACTATGAGCGATGTAGACACGAGAAAAAGCAGTTGGAAAGCATACTTTGTGCAACTCTCACAAGGCGCCCTGCTGGTACAGAGGTTAAGCACTGGATTACTAACCAAGAGATCAGCCGTTCAAGAGCTCTAACCTCCTCATGGGAAAAAAGATCTGACAATCTGTTCCGGTAAAGATTTACAGCTTTGGCAACCCCATGGCGTCCCCTTGGGATTCAGCTGGTTCCCACCGGTTCAGCAGCACTGATACCTGATTTTTGTTGAGTTTGATGAACCGGTTGTTAAAATGGCACTTGTAATCAGGGTTCTCTCTAAGGTGGATGGCTGGGCAACTGCCCAAGGTGGAGATCACCCATTGATACTCCTTGCTTTTTTTTTTTTTTTTTAACATTCATCAGCGCAACAGCGTTTTCTAAGTGCCTGTAGTAATGTTCACTTCGTCCATAGGTATAGAAGAGTAGATGGAACTATGCTTGTAATATTTACTTATTCATTTCATAAAACTTGTTACACTTTTGATGAAATGCCACATTTTTATCCCCTTGCATTTGTTACATCAGCAACCAAACATATAACGTAAGGAGAAAAAGTGCCACATCACCAGAGGGCGGCAGGTTGTCATTCATTTCAGCTTTGTGTGACACCCCAAATTCCCATAAGATATTACGAGTGTATTACGTAATTCCTTCTGAAAGAGTTCAAAGAGCTGAAATTATTATGACACCAATTGCTGTTATGTTCAGCAGAAGTGGAAAGGGGGGCTGCAAAGATGAACATAATACATTCAGAGAAGAGACATTGCCTAGTTCCAATATGTCAAACACAATGACCATTGTCTAATTGGCCTAACTCTCAAAGAATGGGATCCTACTCCCACAGTGAAAGATGGTGAAGGATAAATCACACAGCTACTGATGCTCGAATAAAAGTGAAGACTATTGATTGGTGAAGATGCCAATCAAGAAGTGATATGGAAACATTTCAAGAGTTCTATTACTTTTTGTCAGGTATTATTTATTATTTTTCATTAATATTTTAAAACTCCTTCGTTTGGCATAGTCCAGTTTTGTGTGCCTCTTTTATTGTTATTTAAGTATGAACTGTATTAAACAATAAATTACCATTCGGAATATAATTTGCTTTACTGAAAATGATCATTAGGGCAGTGACTTGGTTCTTAAGTTGTTTGAATCCCACCATGGCCCTATGGGGTAGTTCCACGCTACGTCGGAATTGAGTTGACAGCATACAATAGTAACCTTCGCAATGAACCCTGACTTAGACGGCTGCTTTTCAAGTAAGTTTTATATAAAATGAAGGAAACACTCTCCAGACTTTGCTGGGTCATTGTTTGTCATTAGCCCCGTCTCTAAGCAACAAATGGAATATATGACTCATTAAAATATCTAGACAGGTGAGCGCTTATGAAATAAACAATGGAATCTAACAACGTCTGCTACATTCTTCAAACCAAGAATCACTGTCCCAGAATGCCACCCTTATCTTCGGTACTCTGGTTATCTAGATGGAAATTGTCACTTTTAATTAAGAGATTCTTTTTGAGATGATATACCTGGGGTACCTGGACTCTTCTGAGGTTTGGGTTCCATTATGGTGGACTGCTCTCACCTGTGGAAAAGAAAAGCTAAGTGTTAGTTAGCTAATTCCCCCCAAACGGATACACAGATTCCCAAACCCGTTGACACTGCGTCTGCTCCAACCCATATTGACCCTGTATGACTCCCAAGACTGCAAATCGATGCCGAGCAAACTGGCCACCTCAACAGAAGCAGACTGCCACATCTGTCCCACAGAGGAGCGCTAGGTGGTTAAGCGCTGCATCACCAGGGTCCCTACTCATTGATGGGGTACTGAGTAATGCAGTCTTGGGATGGCGCTCAGAAATGCTGCTTCCTCTTTTTCTTTCGTTCATATTTTTCTTCCTGGTTTTTTGTAGGTACAGTCTTGAGGGCATGTTCAAGCAGCTTCTGCCCATCAAAGCAGAAGTTCTATAGAAGTGTTGCAAAGATGATGGAAGGAGCAGTCTTCCCTGGACTTTCTCTGTCTTTACTTCACCAGTGGCTCTGATAAGAGAGCCCCCAGGGAGAGGTAACACGGAGGAAAGTCCGAGTTCAAACATGTATGGGTTTGTTCCAGAACCCATTGTCCTTGAGCCGATTCCAAATCTGTGTGATCCTTTTGAGTTTTCTGAGACTGTAAAACTTCACAGTAGCAAAGGACCACGTATTCCTCCCCTGGAGCCAGCGATGGGTTCTAGCCAAGAGGAAGCAAGATAAGCCTTCTCTGTGCCAGAAACTGCCGTTCTCTAGTGCGAGGCTAAGATCAGGGCCCCAGTGACTGGGCTCTGCAGGTGGAGGCTGACACTTTGGGTTTGAACCTGAGAGACAGAGGTCTGTCCGGGACACATGAACACCAAATTCCAGAGCAAGCTGGCCATCTTACAGCAAGCCTATCGCATGAAAGAGAGCTCCCGTGTAAGGCTCCCTAGGTGGTCACTTTTCTAGGCTTTCATGACTGCCCCACCAGAGCTCGCAAAATAGGAGGAAGACACCGAGCAGAGAGGTTCCAGGAGAGTCACAGGCCAAATGGAAGGGAGACAAAAGGCCTGTTACCACCCCAACCTGTGTGGTGGGATTCCTTTCCTCCGGAGTTTTCCCTCTCTTCAGCATAAAGCCACCCGTTGCTCCTGTAAGGTAAATGACTCACAGCAGTGTACTGCTCCTTCACCATAGCCTTTAAACCGGAGATGAAATGCTTAACCTTAAGACCACAAGATCTCACGCTGTCCTTTTGTGACTTGTAAGGAGCATGTAGGAGTTATGGAGGACCAGGGGGGCGTTTTCCTGGACCCTGAGACTGTCGACTCTGGGGAGACTTCCCTTTATCCTACCAACTGGCGTTACGTGAACGAATTGCAAACTTTTCAGGAGGCCGTAAGACGTCCTTTTGAAAGGGTGTGCGGAAAAAGTGGTGTCCTTGAATGAAGGTGATGGCCACACTCGGCTTGATGCAGTGAGCCGCAATGCCTGGGACAGGTGCTGGGGCATCCAGTCTGAGGCTTCTGTCCACGGGGAGAGCCTTGAGACACAAACGGAGGACTAGAAACTGCCAACTGCTAACAAACAACACTGACGTAGAGCCCATTGCAGTGCGTACCGCGGTGCTCTATAGGGCAGAGCAGAACTGTCCGTTGTGTTTCCGAGGCTCTAATGCTTCACAGAAGCACACTATTCTCTTGTCGAGTAGCTGATGGGTTCAACTGCTGACCTGTGGCCAACAGACCAATGTGTAATCCATGACACCTACCCGCCAGAGACACTTTACAACTTTTTGTAAGATATTGTATCCAGTCCATGAGGTTCTTTCCAATTTCAGGGGTTCAAGAACTAGGCATTTTCTGACTAGCACCCTCATCTCCATTTACCCATGGCGGGGGTTAGCCGGCCCTCTCATGCGACATTTAACCTGGCAAGTGATGGTTTTCAAGGGCCATGGTGGAGGGCTGTGTAGAAGGAAGTAGCCATGGATGATGGATTTTAAGGCCAGTCTGCTTATGACAAGTTAGTTTTAGCTGCTCTTGGTTGAAAAGCCAAAACTCATTTTGTCTTGGTAAAATATGAATTATTCCTAAATTCTTTACCATTTATGAAAGAAGTGGACATACGTTTTGTCTTTCATGTCTCAGAACTAGCCTATGAGATAGTTCTTTGTACAAATGAGATGCTGTATTTGAGAGAGGCGCAGGGACTGCCCACTGGGCTTGCACCTTGGTCCTCCGCTAGAGCCCCCAACCTCCCACAGCATCGTGCTTCTTGTATAGGGAGAACAGCAGAATGTACTTTGGGGGACATCTCGTCCTTCCGATGTCTGTGAAGGGCTCCAATGTCACAAGTGGGACCCACCACTCCCTGTTTTCCAACCCACCATCAGATGAGGTGGCCGAGGAGACACTAGCGCGTTGTGGTGTAGAGTGAAAATAAACTCTGAAATCTGGGTTTAAATTTCATTGCCATCATTTATGAACGACGTGATCTTGTCGCCATTGTTGCTGCTGCTGCTGCGGAGTCGGAACTGACTCCTGGAGACCCTTATGTCCAACGGAACGAAACACCGCCCGGGCCAGGGGCATCCTCAGAACTGTGGCTGTGCTATGCTTCAAAGCCCTCCCCTGTCGAGTCGATGCCGACTCAAAGTGACCCGATAGGACAGGGTAGAACTGCCCCTGTGAGTTGCTGAGACTGTCACTGTTTACAAGAGTAGGAAGCCTGTCTCTCTCCTGAGGAGCGGCTGGTGGTTTTGAACTGCTGTCCCTGATGATTGCAGCCCAACACGAAACCATATACTATGCCTGGACACATTATAATACCTCTCTTACACGTCCATTTCTTGGTCTGTAAAACGGGGGTGATAGTATTACTAACCTCATAAGATTGCCACGAGCACCAACTGAGATAATCCAACCGAAAGTACTTAGTATATAAATGTCGATAAATGTTAGTCGTAAGGTCTTTTCCAGCTCAGATATTCCATGATTGTTTAATAAGGGTGAACACTTATTGAATTCTAGTATATTTCATGGGCACACACATCTAAGAGGCTTCATAAAGTTTGTGGAAAAAATGGATTTAACAAGAAATGGGATTTTTTTTCATGGACTTTTTGAAGCCTATAGATATTCATCGCTATATGTTTGCATATAGAGTCGCGTTTGATCCTCATGAGCAATAATACAGTGCTCAGACTAGTTATACAATGATATAATTCCCGCTCACATAGAGGTTAAGAAACTTGCCTTTGGTCACATAGTTAGAAAGCAGCAGAGGCAGAACTCGCACCCAGGTAGTCTGACTTGAGGGTCAGGCTCTTACCACTGTGCTCCTCTGCCTTCCTGAGAAAGAAGGAAGCATTTGAAAGTTCTGATTGTCTTTCTTGTCACTTCCCTTTCCCACCCCACCTCCCCCAAATCCAAACCATAAGCTGCCCTCACAAAAGCACAACACCTTGCTGACGGAGCTCTTTGGACTCATTCAAGAGAATCTACTCACAGCCATCGCCTAACCTGTTCGTTGTAATAACATTTGTGATCAGAGGGATGTGTTGCCAAGAATCCCGTTCCCCCTGACTCCATAGTCGGGAACACACGAAGGAAGCCCCTCTAATGGAAGCTTACCTATCCCCCAAAACATGAACACCCAAATGGGCCGCACCGAGCAATACTTACTGGAAGCCAGGCAATCGCTGGTTCGGTCGTCTGGAAAGTGCCCTGTCCCTGAGTCCTCTGGACTCACCTCTGCTCACTCCGCTCTCCGGGCGCCAGGATGAGCAACTCGTACAAGCTCTGTTAGAAATCTGAACCACAGGAAGTTCGTAAGCCTCTACCTTTGGACAAATTGTCTGTTTGCCCTAAGTTGAAATGGAAGTTGGTGTTCGAGGGGAAGTCCAGGGCTTTTATTTTTCTTGCGGCTTGGCACAGAGCTGCTCTTGACAGTCCTGTTGTCTAGCACCAACCTATTAAAGCAAACAAATTAATAATTAAAAAGAAAGCCAACCAGACTTTGGACCACAGATACAATGACTCTTATTGAGAACACTTCAGCCCAGCCCTGACTTCCTGCAGTGATCAGTAGCCCGGCCATTCCTTAGCCTCCTATCCACGGACGTCTTACTGATGCCATCCTGGGAAGGGGAGAAAGGAGCCCTTTGTACCAAGTGAGGAAGCAGAAGCACGGAGAGATGTGCCAAGTGTTCTAACACCTGCCAAGGGCTTCCAGGAAGACGTTTATTCACCCCTAGTGGAGATGCCATCACCAGTACAGTGAGACTGGGATGCTCTCCTGCACACCCACTCACCAATCCCCCAGTACAAACAAAGCCCTCTGCCATGACTCTGTTCTGATTCATAGACACCGTTACACGGGGTTTCTGAGACCCCGTATATTTTAGGGAGTAGGTAGTCTCATTTTTCTCCTAGGGAGTGGTTGGTGGGTTTGAACTGTTGGCTTTTTAGTTGGCAACCCAACGTCTAACCCACCGTGCCACCTAGGCCTCCATACCCACCCACCAGCTACTGAAAAGAAGCAGGCGACCCAGAGGGCCGCCTGCGCGAAGCGGCTATCTGGCTACCAAGGGCGTTAGCATATTTTCATTTTTATTATAGGTTGTTCGGGAAAAGGAGGAAATGGCTCCTGATTTTATCTTGTGGTAGCACCTTTCAGGAGCCCTGGTGGTCCAGTGCTTGACTTCTCCGCTGTTAGCACAAAGGTCAGCCAGTTTGAACTGGTTCAAAGCCGTGCTCAAAAGAAACACCTGAAGCACTTGCCCGGGGTTATTTATACCTTAAGTTAAAAATATCCCCTGAAGTCATCTTAAAACAGATAATAATTTAGCTCAACTGGTTAAAAAAAATTGTCTGCCTTATTAAGCATTGAGTTCTTTTAAGCAGGATTTCAAATGGGTTTAAACTGGTTCGGTCATGAGAGACCAAGTGAAATCAGAAAAGACCCAAATCTGGAACTTTTGGGTGAAGTGGAATGAGGAAAATGACAGTCAAAATCCCGGAATAGAGACCTGGAAGAGGCCCAGGAACCCCTCCGGAGCCTGATTCAGGATGATGGATTATTGCCCTGACTGCGGAAAGTGAGCCCCATGCAACACACCCATTCAACGCTGCACGTACGGGGGCTGTCTTTGAGCCGGGTGTCCCTGTTTTCGACTCTGCTAGTCCAGAGATTTGGTTGCTATGCAACGCTGCAAGCTTGTTTTCTGAGAGGGAGACAGCGTTTCTAGCAGGGCATTGATCCATGCTTTTCCCATTCCAGTAATTGTTCTGGCTCACCCACATTTTACAAATCCTGGTGCCTTCCTGTTTCACTTCATTTGGCGATGACTGAGCCAGGAAGAAGGGGTTCAAAGCCTGCTTCTCAGAACTATCTCTATGGGATCAAGGTAAGAGCATCAAATTGAGAAGAACTTCAGGGCCCAGTGAGTTGATGCTAATGCAGTAGACAACTCAGAAGAGGAGGGTGCGAAGGGTTGCATCACTTTAAGAAGATAATCTGCATTATTGAACTTCACCCACCAGAACTGTTGAATTGCATACACCTGGCTGTGCACAGGAGCCCTGGTAGTGCAGTGGTTACTCGTGGGCTATGATCCAGATGATCAGCGGTTAGAAACCACCAGCAGCTCCTCTGGCAAAAGACTGAGATTTCTACTCCTGTCAACATGGTTTCTTTTAAAAATTATTTTATTGGGGGCTCGTACAACTCTTATCACAATCCATCCATCCATCCATTGTATCAAGCACATTTGTACATTTGTTGCCATCATCGTTCTCAAACCATTAGCTTTCTACTTGAGCCCTTGGTATCAGCTCCTCATTTTTCCCCTCCCTCCCTTCACCCCATGAACTCTTGATAAATTATTATTATTTTGTCATGTCTTACACTGTCCGACGTCTCCTCTCACCCACTTTTCTGTTGTCCATACTCCAGGGAGGGGGTTATAGGTAGATCCTTGTAATTGGTTCCCACTTTCTACCCCATCTTCCCTCCACCCTCCCAGTATCGTCACTCTCACCACTGGTCCTGAAGGGATCATCCATCCTGGATTCCCTGTGTTTCCAGTTCCTATCTGTACCAGTCAGTGTACATCCCCCAGTCTAGCCAAAATTATAAAGTAGAATTGGGATCATGATAGTGTGTGTGTGGGGTGGGGGGAGAGGAAGCATTTAAGAACTAGAGGAAAGTTGTATGTTTCATCGTTGCTACACTGCATCCTGACTGGCTTGTCTCCCCTCCCCCACCAACCGTGACCCTTCCGTCAGGGGATGTCCAGTTGCCTACAGATGGGCTTTGGGTCCCCACTCCGCACTCCCCCTCATTTACAATGATATGATTTTTTGTTCTTTGATGTCTGATACCTGATCCCATTGACACCTCATGATCACACAGGCTGGTGTGCTTCTTCCATGTGGGCTTGGTTGCTTCTCAGCTAGATGGCCGCTTGTTTATCTTCAAGCCTTTAAGACCCCAGATGCTCCATCCTTTGAAAACCTGGTCCCATCGGCTTTCTTCACCACATTTGCTTATGCACCTGCTTTGTCTTCAGGGATCGTGTTGGGAAGGTGAGCATCATGGAATGCTAGTTTAATAGAACAAAACAAAGTGTTCTGCCTCCTGTGCACATTTAACACTCTCAGAAACCCACAGATGCCAATGGCAGTGGCTGTTGCTGTGCAGCCTCCCAGGAGCAACAACACAAGCGATAGCCTTTAGTAGAAAAAAAACCAACCCACCGACCCTGGCGATCCACTGGTCTCCTTCTGACTAACCCGTCCCAGAAAACCCTAGAGAGCACCCTTCTCCTTGAACACACAGTCGCCGCGCAGCTGACTCCACAGCAGCTGGCTTGTTTTGGGTTGATGATTGTCCCCGTCGAAAACAAAGGACAGAGCTGTAATCTTTATTGTCCCCTCTTTAGGATTCCGAACTTGAACCCGTTCTGCCACGTCGTCCACGTGTGGCCGTTCCGAGTTACTAGTTAACCCAGAAGTTGTCTCCGAGTCTGCTTCCTCTTCTTTGCAATGGGCTGGGACTGCTGATCGCTCCGGCACGTGTACCGCACGAAGGAGGCGTGCACGGAAAAGCTGCTGAGCGCAGCGCTTGCTCCACGTGAACAGGCAACCAGGGTTATTCCGACGTCTTGGGCAGTTGCTCATTTGGTCCCCTCTGCACTTTTTGGAGGGTGCAGAGAGCACCCACGCCTTTATTTAGCAAATCTCATTAGACGTCAGGCATGGAGCCACAATGATTTTATTGTTGGCTTCCTGCACTGGACAGGTTTTGCTTGATATCCGGAGGAACAATTCTTTGGAATATATTTCCCTGGCTGTTCCTCTAGGTCAGTGTCTAATACATTTTTTTTTTTCAAAAAAAGAGAAACAGTTTCTTTTGATTGTCCTGCTCATACTCAAGAGTTCAGGGGGCTCCTTAGCTAGAGAGAACGGTTGCTAGAAGCCTTCTGAGAAGTCTCTAACTCAGGAACCAGAAGAAGGTGAGCTTTTCATGCCTCTAGTAGACACCTGGGCACCACCCATCAACTCTCTCCAGTGTTACTGTTCTTTGTGCAGTAGAATCAAGTGACTCAACCCTTCAATTAAAAAAAAAAAATTCAAAATCGGCTGAGCTTTGTCCCTGGCCTCAGGGAGGCCGTCTCTCTTGTGCTTGTCAGACGCTAGAGAGTTGATTCTGCCTCAAACAACCCTCCTCACACCAAGTGAACCCCTGCCGTCGCGTCCTGCACCATCTGTCCCCTCACTGCCATGTGTCAGCATGTTGTGGCTGCCACTGTATCACTCCATCTCATGGAGGGTCTTCTTTTTCACTGACCCTCTGTTTTACCCCGCAGGAAGCTGCTCTTCAGGAATAGGTCCCTCCTGATACCTGTCCAAAGGACGTAGGACAGTCTCACCATCCTTGTTTCTAAGCAGCATTCTGGCTGGGTTCCTTCCAAGATAGAGTTGTTTGTTCTACGGCTACGACAAGGGAAGCTGGGCCACTGGTGTTTCCCACCTCAGCAGGTCACTCATGGTAGGCAGGTTTCAGCAGAGTTTCTAAAGTAGGGAAATTAGGCAGAGGGATGTGTTCCATGGGCAAATGGGCTGCAACAGACCTCTTTAAAGCGTTACAGAGCCAAGAAGTCACTTTGAGCACCAAGGTGTCCCTGAAGCAAGCCGTGATACTTCCAATGACCTCGTATGGATATGAAAGATACACAATGAATAAAGAAAACAGAAGTGATGCCTTTGAGTTATGGTGCTGACAAAGATGATTGAATAGACGGTGGATGAGTTAGTTTATTGCACCAACCTGGCTGATAAACACATGTGGAGTTAATTGAAGGGCGGAGGGATAAATGGCTCCGTGAGCCTTGCCTTTCAAGTTCTCAGGTCTCTTGCTTTCTGATGGTCGCATCAGGGTGCA